CAGTAAAATATGGTCGCGAGTCCCAAAAGACTCGGACCCGAGAAAGAATGCGCTGGCAAGGGCCAGTAGCATATACAAAAGACAGGCCCGTCCTCTCGTCAGAGAGGGCGCAGCACAAAAAGAAGACCGTAACTGTCAATATCTATTCATGAGTTCCAGATGGGGTTCGGTACCAAGACTTGCTGACTGACTTACCGTCAGTCGCATGTGACTCTGACTTTCACTTAGCAGATAGTGAATCGAGAGGGTCGAGAGAGTCTTGATTCGGCGGTTGAGGGATGCAGTCCGCGAGGAATAGCCTTGTTAGAAGACTGTGAGCAGGCAACGACGCGTGGACAGTCAGTTGCTGTGAGAATCTGGTAGCTGAGGCCGGGGACATTTGGGGAACCTAGAGGAAGGGGAAGTCCGCCGTTGGGAGTAGCTACCAAGCAAAGAGACTGAGAAGTCTTAGTGAATTGTAGAGTGCGTGTATTAGTCACAGGGCAGTAATTAATTGTAGTTACGGTTTGTGAGAGTCCAGTAAATCTAGTTACCAATCCAAACCCCGTCTATAGTCACTCCATCACGTGAAAACACGCATATCACAGCGCACAAAAGGGGGTGCCGGGTCACGTCGTAATAGATAACCATTCGTCAGGCGAGTGTGCCCAATCCGAAGGCACGCAAGCAGGGCTCCTGACGGAACTCAAGGAGGAGTGCTATATTTGTTGTCGAGGTAGATCAAACACATGCTTAAACACTGTTTCTGAATCAGTAGTTGAAAACATGGCGATGGTGCCAATATTTGATGTTTTGTGCCATAAATTTAGCAGAGAGCAGTATATCCTATAAACACTATACCCATATTTATAGTATTTGGCTTGCTTCTCACCGCGGCGGCCCAGGTTCGAACCCGGGTTAGGTCATGTGGGATTTGTGGTTGACAAAGTGGCGCTGGGACAGGTTTTCTCCGAGTACTTCGGTTTCCCCTGCCAATCTTCATTCCACCAATTGCTCCACAATTACCCTCACCTATCATCTGGGGCTGGTACAATAGGCCGCAGTACAAGGGACTTAGTCCAGCCCCACTAGCAATTAAAAAACCCTCAGGGAAGATAATCGAACTTGGTATCACAAAAGAGGAATGGCAGCCACAACATTCGCTCATGAGCGATGTGCTTCAGAGCCTTCAATAACCTGATAAAGTATATGCATGTACGTCACGCACTGTAACCATGCGCTGTCAGCCGGTTTTGGGCGTTAATGTGGTCATGCTTCTGTATTTCTCATAATTAGAAACAGATGAGTATCTCCAGGCGTGTGTTCGCAGAGTGTTTCTCGGGTGACTAAAACTTCCGCTTCTTTCGTCTTTTGCGCTGATACTTTCTATCATAATTAAAGTGAAGCATGAAAGTGAAAGTTGTGGACTGTTTTTACAGCGATGCAAGTGTATTACTGACGGTACAAATATGTTGCTACAAAGCTGCTTCAACTGCAGATACAACACTAACAACTTTCATTATTCAAAGAATTGCATAGCCGTGGATTATTTATACAGACTCATTTTCTTGCAACGTTCTCTGAAACCGTGAACTTCTATTGTCAGCATGCTCAATGCGCAATGGCACAATATTCCATTCTCACTGTTGTTCCAGCTGCATTTCTGTTCGAAAGTTCTCTCTAAGTGTGAGATTCATCATTGTTGTTAAGCACTTTTTGGTTACCATGACAAGGAATTGTTGAGCGTGAACATATTGCATGAATGTAAGTTATGTATTAGGACATGAATAGGCAAGCTGTTTTTTGTTTCGGTGTATGTTCTGTGACTATTTTTGTTATGGATATGGAAAGTGTACGATACAAAAGTGACGTTTACTTTTGACTATTTGTGGCTGTTTAAAAACAAGAGAAGCTAACAGTGAGAAGGTTTATATAACAAATTACTAGACTTTCTATTGAATTCGCAACAGATGTTTCATCGGTTTAATTTAAATTCCAAACCAAAGATGTTAATTTGAACTTAATAGAGCCTAAGTGAACGCAGAACTTCATGGATGTAGGCCTAGGCCCACTGGGGCTGTAGTGCCAAGAAAAAAAAATATTGACTCTTCGGGTCATATTACTAAGAGTCTCTAATTTGGCTTTCGCAATACGATCAATGTGAGTTTACATTAATGCAACGCTCGGAATTTTCTTGCAGATCTAAGGGAAGACGTGAGAAATATAGATTATGGTATTCTGGGTAATGATATCGGATAGTCTAGTAGATGGTCAGCAATGTTGTGGAGGTATATGCTGCCTCCTTCTTCGGGGTTACCCTGCAGATCGTCCATCTGAAGTGCTGATAATCATCCACCAGACTGGAATGTGCCATAGCCCAGAAGACAGCAATCTATGCCGCGGAAACGGTAGATCCCACATGGAGAAATCTGTCGACTCTGCACATGTTCAGCGACACATAACTGAACACTGACGCAGAAGGAAAGGAAGCTGAACCTCATGGTGCTGTGTTCTCAAGCGAGCTTATACCAATCTTTAAGAAAGTGACTGGGAATTAACATGGTCTGTTATAAGCTACTATCCCGGTATTCATCTGAAACTGTTAGGCCCCAGACTCATAGGTCAAGAATCGAATTTGAAGCGTTTCAAATATGATTTATGTTCCTAACCAGCTCCATGGAGCCGAGCCCTTGTTGAGAAGCCGCCAGTCGCTCAGCTACTCAGAGATTTCTCAATATTATATGGAACCCGAAAGCTCATTACCATGCTCACAAAATCCCACCCTGAGCCATACGATTCCAGTTCGTACCATGTCATCCCACTTCTTTAAAATCCTTCCTACGTCTAGGTGCTGCTAGTGATATCTTTCCTTCTGTCTTTCCCACCAAAACCCTGTATACATTCGTTTTTCATGTGTACTACATGCGGAGCTGAACTATATTCATTACACCTTCAAAGCACAGTGGTTGCTGTATATGCCACCTGCATTTTTTCAACTTAATGTATTTGTGTTTCGTATGATTCTTAAAATAAACAACAATTATTTCCCTAAACAGTCTTAACAGAGTGATCTTTGTAATAGAGACGCACCGTGTATTCTATGAGATAGGAAATTAAATTTGAAGGATTAGATGAACGCCAGGCCTCAAAGTGTTAACCGTTAGATCATAGCCGTGACGCTGCGGGGGGGGGG